GGGAGTTGAGGTTGGGGTATAGTGAGGAAAAGAAGAAAATATCCCCTAAAACAACAAAGTCCAAGTTAGTAATATATGATCTGGATCAGCAGGAGTCAATGCCCCCAAAAAATTGCAAGTGTAAATAGACAACAACATGTATAATAGGAGGTCTAGAAGACATTTCAAGTGATTTGGAAGTCCTGATTTTTGGAATTCCTCATAAAGTCCTTTAGCCCCACCTCTGTAGACTAGCCTATGGGATCCCAGTCTGGTGATAATTGTTCTCTAAGACTAGATGAAAAATGTAATGTTTTCGAGTAAATGTAACACTTCTGTAGTGAACAAAGAGAGTGCAGATGGTTAATGCACTCCACTACTCACCAAAAGGTTGGTGGCTCAAGTCCACCCAGAAACTTCCTGAAAGAAGGACCTTGTGAGCTACTTCCAAAACGTCATTGAAAACCTCGAGGAACACAGTTCTACTCATGGGTACTCCAGGAGTAGCATCACCATGAGTCAAGATTGCCATGAGTTGGAGTCAACTCATTAGCAACTGTTGTTGTTTTGGTAGTAAATATATAACTATATTAACAGAGAGCTTTCCCTTATATCATGGAATGAAGTAACCTGTCTCTGTTTCTTTTGTGGATAGTGGGTCGATTCTGGTAATAAAGTGTGTTACAGAGATGTATCTCTAGATTAACAAAGATGTTTTGGTTTATTATATTCCTAGAGTAGTGTGCTTATTATCTGAGATCAACATCTAGCTTGTCGGTAACAATGAATATTTTTCTTTCAGGCTCAGGAATTGTCCTCACAGAGAACTGTTTTTGGTTTAGGAGTTAATAGAATTTGGAGTGTTAAAATTGATTAGAATCATTAAGTGAAATTAGCCCAGATTTAAAAAAAAATAACATCATTATTATAAGGAAAAACAAAGAAAAAGAGACATAGGTTTTGTACCCAAAGAGATGACTGACTACAAGGAGGCCAAGGGCAGGGGTTGGAATAGGGAGAGAGCTGGGGTTGGATATAGAGGAGGGAGTGGAGAAAAAGAACCACATGTATAGAGGATATGATGATTGATTTCATTTGTTGAGATGGGCTGTATACCTATATACTGTGCTTCTATAAAGAAAAAATAATCCTCCAGATTCCTTACCCCTCGGACCTAAATATTGATCTGCATGGCTGCTAAAAAAAAAAAAAAAGGAAGCATGGAGTACTACTTACATAGCATTTACTGTGTTTTTTAAAAATCACACTTACTGCCACTGAGTTGATTCCGACTATTAGTGACCTTAGGGGACAGGGTAGAATTGCTCCTGTGGGTTTCTGAGTCTATAACTCTTGATGGGAGTGGGAAACTTCGTCTTTCTCCTGAGGAGCAGCTGGTAGTTTCCAACTGTCCTACACTTAACCAGGGTTCCTTACATTGTATTAAGTATTGTAAATAATCTAGAAGTGATTTAAAGTATATGGGATGGTGTGTGTAGATTATATGCCAGTACTATGCCATTTTATATAATGGACTTGTTCCAATCCCCATGGGGTACCTAGGAAAGACTGTAATTCTAAAATGTATTATGTGAAAATTCATTTGTTGCTCATGCCGGCATGGAGTAAGGAACCAGTGGAGAGGTCTGAGGGGCTGGCCTCAATCCCACCTACATGAACAACTGCCCCTATCCCCAGAAGAATTTA